GACAAGAGATCCCAAGCCACTGACGGAATTATTTCAGTTACCAGTTTGTTCTGCCGTTATGTCCTTTTGTACCCTTAATGCTTAATGCAGCGTCTGAGGAGGTTAGTGGAGTTGTCTGCAGAACGCCAGTGAGATGGTACTGTCGTCTACAGATGACTGTGTTATGGTGCGTTCATATGTTAATTTCCATTGCTACCCCACGTTGGGGAGGTCGAGAGTGAGTGAACTAGGAAAGTTTGAGCGAGAGCAAAAGAGAGTTCAACACGTTACGCGAAAGTGAAAGAGAGCTCGAATAAACTGAGCGACAGTGAAAGCTGGAACTTTTATGAGAGAAAGGGGGGGAGGAGGGAAGGAAGGAAGGAAGTAGCGACGGAAATAACTAACGAAAGAAGAAAGGAACGAAGGAAGAAACAAGGTAACGAAGAAACGAACGAACAAACGATCTCGGGGGAAAATAGTTCAGAAAGTTAAAGGAAAAGAGAGAGATCTTAGAAAGTTGCAGTAAGAAATAGAAAGATATCTCAGAATTTTTTGACATTTAACTATTATTATTATTATTATTATTATTATTATTATTATTATTATTATTATTATTATTATTATTATTATTATTATTATTATTATTATTATTCGTATTTGAAACCAGAACCCAACTTACTGCTAGGTAAGCAGGAGCAGCAGGTGCAAGGAGACTAACACTCAAGTACTCCCTAGGTGACCACCTACTGAAGGTGTAAGGTCACAGTCCCACACGTGTCGTCCTGCCCGGGAATCGGACCCGGAAGAATTCGGTTGTGATCTGAACGCTTTGCCCCACTCTTCTACAAGCGAGTGTGTAAGTACGTGTGAGCGTTGGCGTATATGTTAGTGGGTGGTGGCATCTGGCGGCGGCGCTGGGGCGCGCTCACTAGCCGGACTGGGATATGTAAATCATGGAATATGCAAAGTCGTGGACGCCAACAGAAAAAGGCTTGAATGTGGATGTTGTAATATTCTGATACTCATTCTGCGCAATTTAAATATTCCATCTTGACACACTGACACTGTTTTGTCACACTTGACACTCTATTTTGACACACTTGACACTGTTTTGACACACTTGACACTGTTTTGACACACTTGACACTCGAGACTGAACTTTGTAAATTTCTAAGACTGGACTTTGTTTTATTTACTACGAGTCTTTCTGAAATATTTGTTAAAAATTTAAATATTCATTTCTCTACTCTTCTTCTTATACCTGTTGACCTAATTTTATATTCTATTGTTCCATGGTCGCATTTATCAAATTCCTCCCTAAAATCCGTGTAGATTAACTAAGAATTTCATTTTTTCTTCTTTCTACCACCGTACTTTTGTCATAGTGACTCAATAGTTGCGATAATCAGGATCCTCCTGTTTCTCCATGAATAACTTGGTGTCACAAACCCTTTCAAAGGGTTATAGCAGTTAGCATTTTGTAAATAACTTTTTTCTATTTTCTATATCCTGAAATCTTGTGATCAAAGATGTTAGTGCTTCTGGTTTGTAGTTTTTGTCCTTTTCTCTGCTGCCTCCATTGCGATGAGTGGCTATGTCTGTTCTTTTTATGACTCTGAATTTCACTTTAATCTCATCTACTACTCAAAAACCATTGAGCACTCTTGCTAATGATGCTTTATGTATCGTTATAAATAAAGCATTCCAGGAATCATGCCTAGGTGCTGCGTGAGTATGTTGTTTATTTCCCTGTCAATATCTGAAGGATTTGTGTTAATGTCAGATATATATTGTGTAGAATGGCTCAAATTTATGAAAAAGCTAACTGGATTTTCAGCTTTCTTGATTAATCTTCAGCTTTCACGCTAATTCACATTAATTCATTAATTCATTTCGTTGTTGTCATCCGTGAATGAATCTCCTTTGACTTTAGTTCCAGTACTGTAAGAAATTTTTAACTTGAATTTTGTATATATGAAAAAAAAAAACTAGATTTTTCCCACTATCCTGAATTGCATTTTGCTCCACCTGTGCTTCATCTTAGTTTCTGTTCTGTAATTTCTCGGAGATGATTTTCTTTGTGATATTTGCTGTTTGTTAAGCTTTGCAGCACATTTCTTCTCTCTGTTAAGTCTTCTCCTCTTACTGTATCATCTCTCTTGTGCTGTCACTTTGGCAAATATTTTCTACAGACGTTGTATGCATTTTCATTTAGTTTTTCCATGCATTGGTTTAGGTTTAGATTGTTTAGGACGGATTCTCCATCATTTTTTTCAAGATTGATGTACTGATTACATCGACTCCAGGCTGAGGGACTGATTACCTCAAACTCCTTCTGATCTTCACCATATCTTCTTTGGATAGGACTGATGAAGCCACTGTATGACGAAACGTTCCCCAATAAAGATACCCAAGTGTTGCACATGTGTTTAATTTATCAATTTACAATAGCTGAGTTCACTAAACGTTCCCTCACCCTGACTGTTGTTTAGGTTCTCTTCACCTGTTTTCTTTTATGCTCGTTTACAAGCCATTGATAATGTGATCCCAGTGTATTGTGTTGGAGACTGTCATGTCCCTGATAGTTTTCTTTTATTATTTGTGAAGGTCAGATGACGCGAATTATACACTTGTAGTAATGTGTTTTCTGTTGATTCAGTGCAAACTTCCGCAGTCTTAGAAGCGCACTCGTATGATCCTCTACAGTTTGTTACAATTTCTGGTACAATGATGCTTTCTATTTACTTTCATATTTACATCTGGGAGCTTAAAATCTCGAAGGAAACTTAATTAAGCTCGCAAATGGTGCAAGATTTTCAAGGTTTTCTATCTTCTCGATAATTATGTTAAGTGAAGTCCTCTGCTGATGCTGATGGTGGCTGGTATACGAGAATGATTACCAGGTTTCTAATCTCCAGTTTTATTTCAAGCACTTGAGTCATATTTTAACAGTTCGGTGCAAGTTTGTGACTCCTTCACACACTTGTACCATATTTAGTCCAGCATATATATGCATAATATAATTTAGGATCCATATTTTAAAACGAAATTATTAGTGTGGGTTGCCAAGAAGGCTTCAAATATAACATTGCTTTTGGTAAAGAGTGAGAGAGAGAGAGTGAGAGAGAGAGAGAGAGAGAGAGAGAGAGAGAGAGAGAGAGAGAGAGAGAGAGAGAGAGAGAGAGAGAGAGAGAGAGAGAGACTGTATGGGATCTTGCGAGAGTACTAATACCCGTTATCAGAGTAAAAATACATACCCCACAGAGATGTATATAACCCACAAAATGATATGTACTAACGATATTCCTGCTAGTCTTAACTCACCTTCAATGTACCAATTAGCTGGGAAGGGAGATAATTTAATTGACAGGTAATATTGTCCAGACATAAACAATGACCGACCAAGAACATAGTAATTAACGCAGGTCATTACCAGAGAAATACAGGTTACGATAGTCATAATTTGAAGGCCATTGGAACATAGTTAACGACACGATGAAGGCTAACAGATTGGAAACTGTAAATAATGACTCCTGAGCTGGTGGTGATGTTAGTTACTGCTGAGTTGGTGATGTTAGTTACTGCTGAGTTGGTGATGTTAGTTACTGCTGAGTTGGTGGTGAGGTTAGTTACTGCTGAGTTGGTGATGTTAGTTACTGCTGAGTTGGTGATGTTAGTTACTGCTGAGTTGGTGATGTTAGTTACTGCTGAGTTGGTGATGTTAGTTACTGCTGAGTTGGTGATGTTAGTTACTGCTGAGTTGGTGGTGAGGTTAGTTACTGCTGAGTTGGTGTTGATGTTAGTTACTGCTGAGTTAGTGATGTTAGTTACTGCTGAGTTGGTGGTGATGTTAGTTACTGCTGAGTTGGTGATGTTAGTTACTGCTGAGTTGGTGGTGATGTTAGTTACTGCTGAGTTGGTGGTGATGTTAGTTACTGCTGAGTTGGTGGTGATGTTAGTTACTGCTGAGTTGGTGGTGATGTTAGTTACTGCTGAGTTGGTGGTGATGTTAGTTACTGCTGAGTTGGTGGTGATGTTAGTTACTGCTGAGTTGGTGGTGATGTTAGTTACTGCTGAGTTGGTGGTGATGTTAGTTACTGCTGAGTTGGTGGTGATGTTAGTTACTGCTGAGTTGGTGGTGATGTTAGTTACTGCTGAGTTGGTGGTGATGTTAGTTACTGCTGAGTTGGTGGTGATGTTAGTTACTGCTGAGTTGGAAGCGATGTTAATTAACACATTTAATAATAAATTATTATTTACATTCAACATCCCAATCGATTTATAACAATTTAATTTCTATACTTATTATTAGAATAAATATTTTTTTAAACACGCTGGCCGTCTCCCACCGAGGTAGGGTGACTCGAGAAAAAACGCTTTCACCATCATTCACACTATTACTATCTTATCAGAGGCAGGCAGGTACGACAGTTCTAAGATGTCACTCCAAACAACAAATATCCCAAACTCCTCCTTTAGAGTGCAGGCGTTGTACTTCCAACTTCCAGGACTCAAGTTCGGTTAACCGTTTCCCTGAAACCCATTCACAAAATATTACCCTGCTCACACTCCAACAGCTCTTCAAGTCCCAGGTAACCATTTGTCTCCACTCCTATCTAACATGCTCACATATACCTGCTGTATGTCCAAGGCCCTTGCACACAATTCAGTTTTTTGTATTCTTTTCTATATACCCTTAAACTGTACATTGTAAATACCGTAATTTTTATTATAGTCATTAGAAAATGTAATAATAACCACAGGTGATAATCATTATACTAAGAAAACAAATTCTTGAAAATTAATGCATTTTGAAAAGGTTAGATTGGTTTGCAGAGGCGAAAAGAAAAAGTCAAGAACGACTAAAAACTAATTTCTGTTTTCTGTGGAAAGTCCAATGAGGCAATTTGGCCCCAACGATAAAGAGTAATGAGAGCAACTTTGCTGAATGGCGAAGCGTTAATAATGATAATGGTAATGAGGATAATGATAATGACACAGCTGGTCTCTCTCTCCCTCAGGTGACTGGCTCTGGTACTCGAGTGGAGGGCGTGTACGTTCACATTCGTCCTCGACGCTCGCTGCACGCCCTCCACCTCACGCCTCAGGTGGAGGCTCCGCCTCATTCTTCTTCATCGTCTTCGTCTTCGTCTTCGTCAGCGTCGTCGTCATCTGAAGGGTACATTCCGTGGGACACGGTGACCGTGATGAACGCCGGGGCCTCCAGCTACGTGCTGACACGGCTGACGCCCAATACGGAGTACGAGGTGTTCCTGGTTCCCTTCGTCAGGACCGAGGAAGGGTTGCCTACTGAACTCCGGGTCAACACCACACTACCTGATGGTATGATCACTTTCTAAAATGCCTTAAACCCTAACTACGTACCTTACCTGTGAACTACCCTTCCTGTAAACTATACATCCTGTGAACTACCCTTCCTGTGAACTGCCCTTCCTGTGAACTACCCTTCCTGTGACCTACTCTTCAACAGTTGCTGAAGTTCCTGCCTTCCAGTGTACTTACTGCTTTTCAGTGAATTCTAACCCCGTGTGGGTTCCAGTGTCAGAGCGAATAATTTAATGGAACTTCAACTAACTCATAAGATGACGCAAACTGGACGAGTAACACCGACACGTAACTAAAAGTGCACCATGAGCAGTGAATTATTTTATTGTTGCGATGTTTCACCCACCCCTGGGTTAAACGTTGTACGAGTGAAAGACCTCACTGCCACCTGTGTATTGTACAAACCTGTGTCTAGCAGCTCTCCTTCAAGGACAGCTGCTAGACATACACATACCAATTTATTTTCTGGGTTTCTGTCTCCATGTGGGTTATTATTGAGCACTGACAGTCTTCATTACACTTTCATTAGTTATTCATTATTTTCGAGCATCATACATGTGTCTGTTCCTGTCTAAAGAGTCTCTCAATACGTATGATGTAAACCCTGAACGAATGATGCTCATTGAATCTTGAACAAAGTCTAGGAAGTGTGTACCGTAGTCCTGAGCTATAAGGAAATATCTTATTCCAAAATAATTAAAACTTCGAGAACCATATACACCAACCCTACGGGAGAAACCTTTGGAATATTCCTAATTACTACATAAGAGATATCTCAAATGTTTCCCCTCTGACCGGAGACTTCCCTCAACTGGAGACTTGGTTGATTATTTTGTTTGCGGGAAAAGATCTCCAACTGGGCTGAGAAATGTCTTATTTTTGAGTAGTAAGAAGAAATTCAAGATTTCATAAGGAAAAGAAACACTGTAATATTATTTTTTTTTATTGTAACAACGTTTTACGCTGTGTAGAACTTTATCAGGTCAGCATCACCCCGAGCGACACGTTGTTGCAGTAGAGAGTTGTTCGGTAATGTGTGTCTTTTCTTCCCGACAATTGGCAACACACCATTTCGCTCCACGGGAAAAGGTAAATGAATCTCATATGTGTCTTTCAATCCTGCAGTGAATGTAGCCAAAGATCACAAGGAAGCGAGACGTGTCTCGCGGATGTGACTCCACTGGGAGGCTGGAGTCTGGCTCTCGCATGTGGATACTGGAGGGAGTATCACAAAATCTTGGCACTAGTCTTGGCTCTGAGACGCCATTACTACCAGGCCCAAATCTCCTGCCGCCAGTGCCATCAGTGATGTCCCCCAAGGCCATCAGTGACACCACTGCTGACATCTGCGAGGCCACCACTGCCAGCAGTGATGCCACTAATTCCACCAGGGATTCCACCATCAGTGACACCACCATCCCAGCCATTAGTAATGCCACCACTACCAAAACTAATGCGACGATGGTCTGCAGTGTCACCGCCGCTGCCGTCATTGTTATTACTACTGCTGCCAGTACCACCATCAATGTAATCGATGATACCACCACATCAACAAGCAGATGCACCACCTCGACCATCCATCTTGACAACCCACATCATCGACAACCCACATCGACTATCAACCTCCCATCACCAGTACCACAACCACCATCCCACTTCCCACGATCACAACCACTATTACAACCACCATCACACCTCCCTCCCATCCCCACAACCACAGCTACGATTTCAACCACCATCACAATTCCCTCCCATCACCACAACCACAACCACCAACGCTCCACTTGTCGCATAATTACATTCTCCTTCTCCATCTCCTCCCCGCCGCCGCCGTCAGCAGACCCAGCAGTTCTTCAATAAGCCACTCGTTCAAAGATGTTATTGGCCGCGATAAAATCAACAAAGCGCGCATAAGCACCGCAGCCCGAGCAAATGAGCAGTTGCAGACGCGAGGTTTATGTGTATCAGATAATAGAGACTTCAGGAGGGAAGTATATTGGGGTGTGGAAGCGACACAATACGAACCAGGCCATCAGGAGCCTCCAGCAGGGAATGCTATACTCCCTCTGGAGGGCTCCTTGTCTTCTCTATATTATCCTAATCTCCCAGCTTCGCTATGTGCAGCTACCAGATCTCGGCTGCGGCAGGAAGGAGCGAAGGTGTCTTTTGGGTGCTGTAGAAAGGGGTGAAGGGTTCTATCAGGTTGTAAATTAAGGAGTAAAGGTTTCTATTGGGTGCTAGGAGAAACGGGAAAGGTTTATATTGGAAGCTGGAAGAAATGAGATATAGATTTAAAACTACTTATACGTTATATATGTGAGAGAATAAATACGCTACAGAACCAACTAGAAAGTAAAATACCTTGAGAGTCACGAACAATGTTGAACTAACAGAGACATAATAATCTTCAATATAGTATACTTCGATCACCTTACTGAAGCACAAAAGAAGCGTAAATAGATATGTAGAGAGCCTAAGAAATAGCCAGCGTGAACGGATGTTCTGTAAAATTAACTTCACTAATCGGAGAACTGATTGGGAAATCGGTTTTGATTACCATTATCCCAAAGGAAAGCAAGGAAAAAATGAATACAGACGCTTATAAGGTCTATAAAATATAAATTCTGAGAAAGTCTAGGTTATCAGATATTGAAAGAGAATGTAGAAGAATATACAGCAGGAGAAACGGGTCGTCTGAATTTTACAGAAAAAGAAAACGAACACATATTACAACAAAGGAAAGACAATCGACACCGAGATATTATCGATATAGATCAGAAACTAAAACATTCACAGCAGACGGAAAAACACAAAAGTAAAGAGAAGGCCTTCAGGAAAATACAACAAATTGTAAATATTTCTGCTCAGAAGCAGAGTCCAAATAAAAAAAAAAACCTCTTGAACTTCCCAGCTTCTCTCTCTCTCTCTTGAGAAGCTGGAAAGTTCAAAAAAAAAAAAAAAAAAAGAAATGGACAGAATTTTCAGATACCAATATCTTATCAATGTTCATCAATCAGTAAAATAACAGGATCTTCGACGATCCAGATAATTGCTTTGTTATCTCTGTCCACTCTGCAGTTGATGTATCTGACATGAGCACAAATTTCCTCAGAAATCGAAACAGTGAGGCAGAACAAAGAATTACAAACCAGTAACACTAACATCACACATCATAAAAAGCTGCGAAAAAAAAAAACCCGGTACAAGCTTTTGAGGAAAACTCACCATTGTTGAGAGATTGAAACCATTCAGTAGAGTCATACTAGAATTATTTCACAGAAATACAATTAGACAGTTTTGAAAATATAATTGGTCAGTTTTTAACTAAACACTCAAATAACAATCCTAACCACATCGAAGTGTGATACACCAGTATTAAGTTAATAGTCGATCAGAAGATGTATTCTCAAGTTATCGGACGGAAACTAAAACTGGGAATGGTCTATTTCATATTGTATATATATATATATAATATATATTATATATATATATATATATATATATATATATATATATATATATATATATATATTATATATATATATAAAATATATATATATTATATAAAATATATATATATATATATAGGGCAAATGCACATACCAAATATGACATAAGCGTTTTGCCTACTTAAAGCAGCGATAAAAATTTGAAGCCTATCACAAGAGGCGTTCTCAATTTATAAACGAAATCTTACGAGGAAGAAAAAATTCAGACTACCACTTAAAGGTACCCCTTAAAGGATGCCTAATTCGATACCTGTGTTGTACCTGTGACCTGTGGCCAACTGGGTTGTTGCTGCTAACGGCCAGCTGCTCGACACAGATGCTGGCCATGGTTGAATTTCAGTATATGCTGAAACTGACATAACATATCCGCACATAATATTCGTTGAGGAGAGACTTGGACCAGCATCATATTAGACTCAAGGGCGAATATATTGCTGTGTGAGTGGCTGGCATGCTAACGCACGCACACACACACACACACACACACACACACACACACACACACACACACACACACACACACACACACACACACACACACACACACACACACACACACACACACACACACGCACACACGCACGCACGCACGCACGCACGCAGGTACGGCAGCATGAGAACGTGCTACATGTAGGCTGCATATTCTTGAACGATAAGAAGGCATTTGATACAATATCCTGCAAGAGTCTGGGACAAAACCTTGTGAAGGCAGAAATGAGAAGAAATGCACGAAGGGGAATCAAAGGAGATATATTAATGACATACAAAATAGATGACTGGGTGAACTTTGACAGTGTGCTAGAGAGGTGTGCAACCGGTATCCATGGATACATTACGACATTAGATAACTATGAGTCAAAAGGATGTCAGGAAGTATTTCTTCAGTTGGGAAGTATAACCTATAGCATGTAGTAGTAGTGTAGCCAGGCTTCATACATAGTTTTAAGAATAGGTATACCAGGGTTCATATGGCTAAAGGGGTAAAACTCGCAAGTAGCAAGTTAAGCAGGGCCTGGTGCTGAGACTCGACCCCTGCAATCACAAATACTTGAGTACACATAGGTGAGTGCACAGTGCACACACATACACTTGAGTGAATATTAGTAACTTAAAGTAGTCTGGAGGCAGCAGCTGGAAGATCTCCTGAGGCGAGTGTTGAATATTCAGTATCTTAGCAAACCTGCGTGTGTGTGTGTGTGTGTGTGTGTGTGTGTGTGTGTGTGTGTGTGTGTGTGTGTGTGTGTGTGTGTGTGTGTGTGTGTGGTGTGTGTGGTGCGTGTGTGTGTATGTGTGTGTGTGTGTGTGCGTGTGTGCGTGTGTGTGTGTGTGTGTATGTGTGTGCGTGTGTGTGTGTGTGTGTGTGTGTGTGTGTGTGTGTGTGTGTGGTGTGAGTGTGTGTGTGTGTGTGTGTGTGGTGTGTGTGTATGTGTGTGTGTGTGTGTGTGTGTGTGTGTGTGTGTGTGTGTGTGTGTGTGTGTGCGTGTGTGC